CACCCTTTTTTCTACACATATCTTTGCTCACTGCGAACCAAAATGTAACGTTAATCTCATCAGTCCACAGGACTTGTTTCCAAAAAGGCATCAGGCTTATTTAGATGTTCCTTTGCAAACTTCTGACACTGAATTTTGTGGTGAGGACGCAGCAAAGGTTTTCCTCTGATGCAACACAAACTCAAAGCATGAAAGATCCACCCCTGTGCTTAACAGTTGGATCACATTCCTGTGCTTCCATGAAGGTCATATGTGTGCAGATGTCGCTGCACAGTAGAACAGTGCACCACCACTCCAGTCTGATAAACCTTCCTCAAGGTCTTCTGGAGCCAAATGGGAATTCTTAGTTGCCTATTTGTCTAGCAATTTGACAAGCAGTTCTCTTGAAAAGTTTTCTTGGTCTTCCAGAACTTAACTTGACCTCTACTGTTCCTGTTAACAGCCATTTCTTAATTACATCAAGAACTGAGGAAACGGCTACCTCAAAATGCTTTGATATCTTCTTAGCCTTCTCCTGCTTTGTGGACATCAATTATTTTAATTTTCAGAGTGCTAGGCAGCTGCACAGAGGAGCCATGACTGCTGATTGTTGGGTCAAGGTTTGAGGAGTCAGAGTATTTATAAAGCTTTGAAATTTGCATCACCTCACCTTTCCTAACAGTGATTGTGAAGAAGTCATAGCCCTAACAAGCTAATTAAGGTCTTTAAGGTCTTTTTAATCTGCCCAGACTTTTGCATGATGCTCCTTTGCTTTTTTCACTCTAAAATTGTACAAAACAAAAACAATACAGTAATCTTGCTTAAAATGTTAAAAACAGTGTTTCTTCTTTAACTTCATTACTTTTGGAGATCAGCACAACTACTGACAGTAACAGACAGTAACAGAAATTTTTAACTACACTCAAACTTTTGCATTTCTCCATAGAAATTTGCTTGCAAGATCACATTCATGTGCTAATATAACTTTTTGATACTGTAAAGATTACCTGCAGTAATCTGCAGTCAATAGTTCTTAACAATTCATCAAAAGCATCTGATATATAAATGTTATTTTACACTTTGTGCATTAGTAACTATATGCGAAGCTTTGGCTACAGCACGCTTATTCTAGAGCACTTATTCCAGAGACAAGAACTTGTAACGAGAACACTCATCTGAAGACAACTTGTTAAACTGGAACTTGGTGCTGGATAAGGTACGCCTCCTCTAAACTCAACCATAATTCCTCTAGTCCATGCTCTTTTAATCTCCAGAGTGCAACTGATAACACAAGCAAAACAAGCTGGCCAGCAAAATGCAATCACAGGCTAACAATACAGTTTATCTGTTGTAAGAGGTAATGTCTATTTTTACTGCATGTAATGCATTCACACAAAACACATCTACAAGTGTAGGCGACTTAAGCAATGCTAACAAATGTTAACAAATGGCTTGTTGTCCGTTGAACAATGTTGACCAGTGCACCATCGTCCCCTACTTTGACCTCCGTCTTCATGAGCCATTGTATTAGTTTAGAAATTGCACACTAAAGCTGTGTCTACATTGCTAGGTAGAGTGCATCCTTTGCAGCTTCCTTAGCAGCAGCAGCAGTGCGTGGAGGAGTCTTCCTCTGCATTTAGGGCCAAATGATACAGTCTAGCAAAGATTCGCAGCTGCAGCAGCATCATAACTCCTGAATCCCAATCAGCTGTAAGGGTTAAGTTTGAGGTGTGTGAACAGTGAATGAGAGTTGAAGAAAGCAGCTATTGAGGTAAATAAAAAGAGAGAGGGTTTTTTTTTTAATTAAACAAATTACATCAGTCTTACCCCCAACCACTGAAGAAGAGATTCAGCACAAAGTTGAACTATCACTGCACAAATTAGTTAACGATGCCTCCCTTGTTGTTTGCCATCTTTGCTACAATATTAAACCTTTTCCTTATATACTTAAACTAAAGTGAGTGAACATAGCAATGATAAAAATATATAGCTGGTCGTCCATATAAGGACAGGACACTTGTTTATAATATGTATTTTACAGCCAATTTATGTGGGAAACTGGTACTAATTTTCACAACAACTGGGGGCAACATGCACTTAAAGACAAATTCTCCTTCAGTCCCTCCATTTTTGCAGTAGCTTACAATGAGTTTAATTGGAACTCAAAGCTGAGAAGGATACATCAATGCATGCTCTGAATTCAGCAAAAAGAAGGACACGTCAGCTACATTTCAAGTATCCACCTTGTTCTTTTGAAATGGGACAGTGCTTATGATGTATGCAGCCGAGAAACATGGCCGAAGGTTGCAGCCCCGTAAATGAGACACAACCTGCGTTTGTTCCCACCCTAATAGGTCAACATTTCAACCTACATTAAACCCAAAATTTCTCATGGTTGTTCCCAGACATTCTTGATAAAAAAAGTTAGTCTATTTAGTTGAGGCTCATGTATTATTAGTTAGCAGAGGCTCGCAGCATACTCAGTTTCTTTTTAACAAGACCATGACAATAGACAACTATAATAACTGCTTAGTTTTCTAAGAAGTGGAAGTCTACTGAAAACGCCTGTGCATTTAGGCTATGTTCACACAGCAGGTAAAAGACTCTGCTGAGACTCATAAGGCTGATGTTTCTGTACCAAAACATTAGAAGAGACTCATCAAACCGCTCCATGCTCGAAGAGATTTCGAACGAAATGGCTGAATGCAGAGAGAGGACAGCAAAGCTGCAGTGTCAGAGAACAGTTTAAAGAATCCGAGGACACGAACCAAAGAAGTGACCGTGGCCGAATAAGGTTCCCTTTTTACGGTGAACTTCAACACACTGTGGGTGATGAGCCCAGCTGTCAACCATTGGAACTTCATAATCGCTCCTGTGATGCTGGTGAAGACGAAACTGAAAGCTCTGGGAGCGACAGGCGTTTACTGGCCATCATGACTGTTTACCTCTGGACGAGCCACGTGAAGCACTGTTCTTTTGTGCATGCGGGTCGGTTTAGGAGCTGATCTGTTCAGACTGATGTCGCCTACAGATCACATTTAAAGGATAATGTGAACAGCCATATAAAAAAAATCGGATTTGGTGAGAAAATCAGATTTGGGCCACTTTTGCCTGCTGTGTAAACGTAACCTTAGATTCCTCTGAAAAGACTGCCTCAGAAAACAATGGGAGATACTCCATCACGAGCATGGCAAAAACAATGACAACGGACTTCCATGGCAGACAGTGAGCTTTTTCTATTGTTAAAAAAGTGCATTTTTCTGGCTAAGACAATCACTCAATCATTCAATTTAAGTTGAATAAATCATGCATAGCAATACTGAAGACAAACAAAGGATAAAGGCCTGAAATCAGCAGGATCTGAGGAAAGGTGGAGGGCAAGCCTGGTTGAGCATCAGCAATTGACAAGAAATTGTACAAGAACAATTTCTTGTAGGCCTGTCATGATCATGATATTTCAGCTGAGGGTAAACTGCCATATAAATAATTGTGATTAACAAATTAACTTTTTTGTACAAGCCTAAAGCACCCAAATTGGCTGATTAGCTATCATGCTTCCTGGCTGTTGATACTTAATAGCTCCCAACTGACGACAGAAACAGTGGGTACGTTTACAAGCACTCAATATTCCAGTCATAATCGGATGTTTGCAGTTATCTGATCATTCAAATGGACATGTAAACAACATACTCTGAGATGAGAATAAGGTCTAGAAATCTGATTAAGAAATCTGATAAAGAGAGCTGGATTTTAGCTCAGTAATCAGATTTCTCAGTGCATGTAAACTCTTACTCTGATTTCTTTTGGATTGCTCAGTCAGCGCGAAACAGACCGCAGAAATAAGCAAGCAGTGTTGCTGTGAGATCGCAGCAAAACACTTTTGGAACGACTCTAAAATCAACTACAAGTTGACAAAATGAAGGATTTAAATATTCTTCATCTTCTAAATGATGTATGTTCATAGTTTCAGACAAAGTGGTGCGATGTTAAAAAAAAAAAAGCTGCGGCTTGAAGTTTGAGTTTTACATTACGTTTACGTCACGTCATCTTCTGTGAGTTTACCGGTCAGTTGCAGAAAAGCAGAAATCTGATTACTGCCTGACTCATGTAGACCTGGAGTTTCCCTATTATCCGATTACTCACGCGCATGCAAACTCGTTGATTGGGTTACTGACAAAATCTGATTTTCTGCAGTTATCGGATTATTAAGTGCATGTAAACGCACTCACTGTGAGCTCAAATAAACAAACATTATTCACTGCTGCCCTCTACAGGTGTTAGAGCACTATTCAGAGTTAAAACTTTTATTGTTTTAATAAGAATAAAGTCCTAATAAATGAGATTTCAGCTTTCTTTTATTTCTTATTTATATGAATTTGCCTCAACCCAACTGAAGAAAATGCACCCAATTCATGTTCTGTTTTTGTGACGGAAAACACATGATTATGAAAGGTAACAACTGTGGAAAATGTGACCGGCTAAAATAATTGCTATCAGCTGAAAAAACTGTGCTGAACGTATTATGTGGTATTAAGTGTGACAGAGTTAATTTCTCGTACAACGTTTTAAAAGTTAATCCGAAATGGGTGAAAAATATAGCAGGTTAATCTGACAATCAGTACTTAAATATCTATTTGCTGTACATAGCCATAGAACAATATCTACAATGAAAAAACAATTATCACCCAAACACTCTTGGGACTCACTATCCTGAACACTTGAAGATAAAGACGAAAGACCCTAACCGCAGCAATCTTACTTGTCATAAGTAAAATATTACTTTATTTCACTTTTTATATCAACAATTGAAATGTAAGCACCTACTTACATTTTCTAATCAGAGTTCCTCTTATCACTCATTATTGGCTCTTACATCAAAAACACTGCCAGTGAACTTGAGGGGTGGTAGGGTGGTAGCGCGCTTCCAACCACTTCCTTCACTTTCACTCTAAATGAAGCGGTGGGGCCTACCTCCGTCCTAAATAAGCACAGGTGGGGAAGACTGAAAAGCTCTCACTCACTGAATGTGTTCGTTGTGTTTGTGCAGCCATCTTCTTCGGCTGTAACTCCCAAGCCCCCCGGATCTTCTGCTGCTCCTCTAAGGGTGTGGATGGTTGAGGAGACAGCTCCAGAGGCACTGCATAGCCCAGGCAAAGAACGTGTGCTAGGCGGTGATCCGTGGAGCCCATCCGCACAGCTGAAACACAGACAGGAATAAGAAGACAAAGTTTGATTGGAAAAAAAAAAGTGGTAACTAATCACAGTCACTAAATAAACATTTTCCAATCACAAATAACATTCTGAATTGTGGTTGCTGCTAAACAGGTCACACTGATCTAACATTTACTTTAACTAAAATGGTTAAAAACGTCTTCACGGCATACAGCACACCTTTAAAACAGTTCTTCAAGTCTATGGATGTATATATGTGTCTGTGTGTAAAACTGTAAATACTCAAAGAAACATGAATGCATCAATGTCTCTTTGCCTGATTAAATAGTTTCTTCTCTATGACATAAAAACTGTTGTACATGAACCTTTCTTTACAGACAGTTCTGTATAGCACCAAAAAGGGGTTCCACTAAATCACAGAACCTTTTCTTGCTAGACCTAACTGCAAATAGTCCTTCTTCCCCTTCCAGCCTTCTTCAAACAGTTAAAACAGCACATAAACAGCCTAGCATTGGTGGCCTTTTCAGGGTCACATGAAAGTCTTCTTCTAAGGCCATAAGTTATGCTTTGGTGCCTCAATCTGCAGTTCAGCCAACCTTTAGCCCTTGTGGGCCTAGACCTCTGCGTGTAGGCACAGTCGATGGACGTCAAACTCCACTACTCTACTATGCAGAACATGTCAAGACACCAAGTACATCACCACTCACTAGCAAGGCTGGGAAGCTCCTTCTGGTCTCGTTTTCTGTTTGTTTTTTGTCTGAAAAAGCGATGGAAAAGCTGCAACTCTGGAGAAAGTTGGAAGACTTCAAGCCAAAGTGAAGTGAAGGCTACTTCTTCACGGAACAGTTGAGTTGAGCAGGGCGCTTTCCTGCTCGCTGGGTGCTGAACGGTCGACCCACTCTCCACCGGTGTGAGAAGGAAATAGTTTTAAAGTGGCGGTGGGGGGGACGTGGAGAAGCAGAGAGCCGCTGACACGCTCTTGTCACGTTTACTTTACTTCCCGGCGTCTTCTCGGCGTCCACGTTCACCACAGTTCAGCACCACCGGTGAGCTGTTGTGTGTTTTTTTCCTCCACAGAGCTCAGTGAGGAACGGTTCTTCCACACAGACGGAGAGAGAGCAGGAGAGAGTGAGAGTGAGAGAGTGAGTGAGAGAGAGAGAGAGAGAAGCGACACGGACACAAGAGCACACCCTTCATAACTTCCTCATTTGTGTGCACGGCGCCGCGTTATGCTCCTTTCTGACCGCCCGGTGCCACCGGCAGCGTCCTTAGCCGTCGTTTTGAGTGGAAAACGTTTGTAAACGCGGCGCGGCTCGACGAGCTTTTTCAGTCGTCTTCTTCCTCCCCGAAAGCCCTCCGCCGACTTACCTCCGCCATTCCGATTCTGCGCGAGCGGTGGAATGCCCGGATGTTGTGGAGGACTGCTTCAACTTCTTGGTTTATTGTTGCAGCGTTGATGAGAGCGCATGATGAGGGGCATTAAACAGTGCTTAACCTGTTTATTAAGCGTTTTTACACTATGACGCTCATGTTACTACATATTTACACCTAGTAGAGGAATAAATCGCATATAATATTTTTCTTCCCTGGGTCTGGCAGCAGTATGTCAAAATGTTGTTACTTTCTCATAAATATGTCCAAGTAACGACTTACTTTCTCAAAATGTCGACATAATATGTTGAAATGACTATCCTTCTGGGTCTCGTAATAATGACTTAACAAGTAATTTCTTGCATTCTTGAAATTTAATATATAAGCTAGTTTCTCAAAAATGCAAGAGAATAAATCATTGCTTCTATTTATTTGATCAAAACGTGGAGAAAATAAAATGATTCGACAAAGTAAGTCAACATTTTAATAAGTCATTATTTTGGAATACTAAAGTCCATATATTTACATGCTGCATGTAATAAACAGAGAAGCAGAAAAAAAAACCAGATTATTTCTCTCCGCTGCCTGGCAGAAATGGGCTTCTCCATGGGTCTGTGCTGGTTTATGCTGGTCTGGTGCTTGTTTAGCTGGTCAACCAGCATGATCATGCTGGTTGACCAGCATACCAGCGTCAAAACACAACATATGCTGGTTTTGCTGGTAACTAGCAAAGCTGGTCTTTAATGGTTTCTAGCAGGGTCCAAATGTTACAGACCACTTTATATACGGTTGAATTGCTTAATCATAAGCTCAGTATTGCTGGTCAGGCAGGGTGATCATGCTAGGTGATGAGCAAAAACCAGACAGAGCCAGGATAACCCAGGATATTAGGCCTCCAAAGGTTTTGACCTAATTATATATTAGGTCAAAACGTGGGGAAAATAATAATTGATTCGGCAAAGTAAGTCAAGTCATTTCATGCTGGTCTACGCTGGTTTAGCTGGTCACCCAGCATGATCATGCTGAGTGACCAGTATACCAGCGTCAAACACAACATATGCTGGTCATTGCTGTTTTTTCTAGCAGGGTCTATATGTTACAGACCACTTTATATACGATTGAATTGCTTAAACATAAGCTCTCTGTTGTGGATCAAACAGCATGATCATGGTGGGTGACCAGGAAAACGAGCACCAGACCAACACAAACCAGGATAGACCAGTTTAGACCAGCATGGAACACATTGTTTTTTTTTTCTGCAGGGCTGACAACCCAAGTCACCAAAAAGTTTTACATTAGTTACTAAGATATCTCAGAAAAAATGTGACTACTAGATTTTATTCTCTTAATTATGGAGTTCATTATTTAATTCAGTTCATTACTGGTTTTTTGCTACATACAGTGGCCCCCAAAAGTATGTGGACAGGCTACTTCATAAAATGTTTAACAAAGCCTGGATATGAATTCCAACCAGACTGCACTAAGCATACTGTAAAGCACAGAGATTGAAATATCAAGGCCTTGGGCCTTTTTTTTTTACAGTAGTTTTGGTGAGCTTGTGTTTATTGATAGGATCATGAACCCAGAAGTGCACAAAGGTGTTTTGGATGCAAACCTACAGACTTCTGCTGAAGTAATAACTCAAACGATAACAATCTGAAACACACCAGCTTCATCAAAAGAAAACTACAGTCTGGAGTGCTCTGTTTCAGATAGATGTGACATTTTGTGTTCTAACAGGATGAACCGAATACAGTTTATGTATGGCACAAACGTCCAAATAGTTTTGGAGGCCACTGTATGAGCAGAATGTTCACAAATTTAGAATCTTCTTTACTCAGTGAGTCTGAATAAGTTACAATTGACCATAGCTTCAGTATTCAGAGTAATATACTGTAGTGTAATATATAGACTTTATTATTTTAATCCTATACATTATAAGCACAGCTGATCACCAGTAGCGCACTCAATCAGTGAAGACACAAGTTCATTCCCTTGAGACTTACACTACAAACACAGTAAATGGTCTCTTCCATGTTTCTGGGTTTGTGACTACAAAGCGTTGGAGAAAGGGGGAAGGGTGACTCACACACAGGGAACTTGCAGTAAGAGAGCTGGCATTCAGACACCATATTGCTTCCATGTGATCTAGTCTAGCAGCTAGACGAATCATACTAGCCAGGATAGGAGGGGAGGGTAAGTGTGTGTCATTCACTGATAAAGTCACCGGGTCCTGATACGTGTTGCTCTTTAATGCTGATCTTAGACCAGCATTATCTGCCTGCGTTCTCTTAACTGTTATTACTGTATAGCTTTATAAGAAAGTGGATTAGCAGGGAAAGGACCATGTACCTGTGTGTCCCTCTGAGAGTGGGTAAAATACCTTTTTAAGGGAAATTTAAAGGAAGCATTTTATGCCTCTAAAACAGGGGTTTCAAATAGTGGCCCATGAGATAGCTTCATGTAGCCTGTCACATATTTACAGTTAATGCTTAAATCTGGCCCACATTTTTTTTCCATTCTCTGTGAATAAATGTTTACATCTGAGAGGTAGATTTGCTTTGCTCAGCAGACACCTGTGGCCGGTCGCCCAATATAACCTACATAAAATTGGCCTATAAGCCCAATTCTTATGTTGTTAAAAGTAAAACTAGAGCACTGTATGAAAGAGTAAAATGAAAACCTGACCTGACACAGCATGAATGCTGCACACTGGCCATGCATGGTCGTGGTTATGTAAATAACTTGGTTATCATTGTAATTTGGACTGATAGTTAGTTAAATCTGCCTTTGTGGATTTATTCCAGTTTTGGCATAGTGGTAGATACTAGGGATACAATGGTATACGATATATTTTCGAACCGTTCGGTACGCCCATTACGGTTCAATACGCACACATGAACCATGACGGTATTACAATATGCGCCATTTTCCTATAATATACAAATTCACTGCAGGCTACACATACGTTGTAGAGTCTGATCCACAGAACATCTCTATCAGCACTATGTATGCAAATACGAGCTGGAGAAGAGAGGGGGAACTAAAAACACATTTTCTCTCAGCTCCAGCATGACAATGACAAGGCAAGTACTAGTGAGACAGAGGCTGTGTTTGAAATAGCCTACTGTGTACTGTATACTGCAAACTGCAGCAGTATATACTGAGTACTGCATACTACTCTTCATCAGTTGTACACTGTATAGTATCCAGTATGTGACACAAGCCGTGTGCCATACTACAGGGAAGGGGCAGGACTAGACTGCTAATGTCATGGACTGACCCAATCAGACCATATCAAGCCTGCCCAATTTTCCTTAGCCCTGCAATCACTGCTTAGCAATTGTTGCTAGCCACTTATCAGCAAGTACATTTATATTTTGGTTGAGACAGAGGGCAGGACGTGTTTTCTACCTGTCTTTAAAGCACAAAAAAAAACTTTAAAAAGTCAGCGTTGGGTTCATCTGTGTGGTCAACTTGTGCAAGTCATTTCATTTGGTAATATGAGCGAGTTTTACTGAATAATAAGTAATGTGACTCCACACGGGAGCCTAAGAAGCTGTTGCTTAGTGTATTATTCAGCAGAGTTAACATACTGTTTTATCCACATTATGCAGAAAGTTACATTTTAAATAGACGAAGTAAACAAACCCACCCCAAGACGAGCAGTGAGAGCTGGTATGGCTTCAGTGTGGCACTGAGCGCAGCAGCATGTGATCAAATTTCTTTTAGTTTGCCTTTTTTAAATTCATAGAAGACAGGCTGCATCTAGAGCTATGAAAAATATTCACATCAGTGGTCACGTACACCCAGAACAGCCGCATTGCATTTTGGGATACAGTTTATTACAAAGGTAGCTCTGCTAACTCACTGGAAAAATTGACCGGAGCAGTATGTCATCTGGGTATCTTTGGCGTACTGGAGAAATTCATGTTGGTCACATACTGCGTACTACAAAAGTCCTTATAGGAAAGTCTTTTCACTCAGTGGCTGTCTTTGCAACTCCACCCAGCAGTTACTTCCAGCCATACAAGACCAGACTCCTATGGGGAGAGACCTAAATATTCAAAACTGAAGGTCAAATTATCACTGATAAAATCTGACACTGTTCACGGTGTAACCAGCAAGCTGATTGGCTCTGTTTCTTGCAGGGCAGGACTTTCACCGTGATGCTGAGCGTCACAAGCTTTCTCATTCATATTTCAACCAGTGGCTGGTCTCCTTATTTATAACATCTTTGGTACTACTTACTTCTACTCAGTATAAGAGCAGTACGTAGTAAGCTATTTTGCCTAAAAATTTAAAAAATTATTGCGTCTAAAAATTTAAAACCTTTGTTTTTTTAAGAAGGTCGCACACCAGCGCAGGTACTCAGAGTCGATGTGCAGCAGTGCTTGCAACTCCGGCAGCCAGTCTTTTAGATAAACAGACAAATGCTAATGGTAAGTTACCTCAGCTAACGTGACTATCCTAGCCTTCTTCAGCTCCAAAACAGCCAGTTTGTGAAGAGGTTACTTTGAAATTAACTTGAATCTAGCTTTTATCAGCTCTCCCTGACAGCATTCTATAGCAGCTGTCTCCTATGTGTGGTGGCCTGCAGAGTAATTCCTGAACTCCATGAAACATCACAGATAGAAATTGAAAAGGAGTTGACACAGACACCCTATCTAACTTGTTTTAATTATTTAAAATAGAGGCAAGGCACCTACAGGTTGTCAAAACTAAGAAGCACTTTTAATTTTAGTATTTTTCTCTCCTTGATTTCAAGCTGTGGAGAAAGAAACCAGGCCAGTCAGTCATGCTGCCATTTTTGTGAATGGAAAGTTTTATTTGTCTGTAGGCAAAATAAAGACTTCATTGTTTAAAGAGTGATGTATCTTGATTTTTCTCTTAAGTATAAAGATAGCGAAACCGTCCTGCTACCATGACTCAAAAACCGTGAGCCCACTGTACCACTGCATCCCTAGTTGATACAGAGTTTTAGAATTAAGAAATTATTAG